GGCTCGCTCGGGCGGTGGGGTGTTTTCCGATCCGTTTTTTTTCCCCCCCTCACGTTCCCGTCGTCCCGCTGCCGCGCAGCTTGCCCGGGCTTGTGCAGGGCCGACGTGGGAGGGAACTTCCTCGCTGCCCTCCCCATGGGAGTCATTCGGAGAGTGACAGGCTGCTAGGACGGAGGTTAAAATATAACCGCGTGCCAACGGGCTTTGGGTTTGTACATGGCGAGCGGCTGGGGGAAGGGAGGGAGCGGGCCGGGGAATTCCTGCCCAGGAAGCGGCGGAGCCGACTGCCCCGGGCGACCGGAGAAATATTGCCGTTAGCGAGGGCACGGCGAGCAGAGCAACAGCTCTGTTTTCCCAGGACGGTCGACAAGGCAGCGCAGCGAGAGCGTGACGCCGCCAACGTCCGCGCGCGTGAACGGGACGGGGCGAAACCAGCGCCGAAACGGCAAATAGAAACCACGCTTGGTGTGTTTAACTGGATTTGGGGGTCTCGTGCTGCTGCTGTCAGCCTGCGTTTGCGAAGCCTCGAGCTGGAGCAGACTCTGCGGGCTGCTTTGGATTTGTAGCGCTCAGATGCTCCGTGACATCCCGGGGCTGTTACTTAACCTCTGCGTTCACATCCTCGTGATACTGCTCCGGTCGCGTAGCGGCTCGCCAAGAACCCTCGCGAATCTCAAAAGAAGCTATAGAAGCGCGAAACGTTGTTGCTTGGCCCCGGGGTCTGGATGTTTCTGTTTGATAGCAGAGCTCTGATAGCGCTATCGTAACATAAATATATGTGGCTGAAAAAAAACGCTGCGGGACCTCTTGTGTCTCCAGTGGAACGGCGTTGGAGAGCTTATCCCTTTAGGAAATAATGGACAAGCCCAGTCATCGTACACTAAAAAGCATTTCCTTTTTTTCCTTTTCTTTCCAGACTTTATATTCAGAGCACCCATTAAATTAAGCAAACCAGGGGAACTCCGAGAGGAATATGAAAGCCAACTAAGGAAGGTACAGTATTCCGTGTAATTGCAGTTTTTCTTCCACAATAACTTGGATTTCCTGCAGGAGCACCGTCCTACCTGTAAGGAGAATTGAAGAGCTTTTTATTCCTGCTCTGTAACAAAGGTCATTTATTCCCTTTCTGTTGTTCAGCCAGCTCAGGAAAATGTTGGCAGTAATCAAGCGTGTAGAAGCCAGTTTTTGCTGTCTTAGGCTGCCTTCCAGAAGATGGAGATGTACCTTCCTTGGTGGGACTCGAGCAACTGTTCGGTTGTGCGGGGTTTATTAGAGCATCTGTAGCTGTGACTGTAATTCTGTAAAGGCTTCTGCAGCGTGATGCATCGCCTTGCTGCTTCACTAGCAGCCTTCTCAGAAGCGGTCTGTTCCAAACTAAGGCTTCCTATCTATTTTTAGGCAAGAAAAAAAATGTCATTCAAAAACAAAATCGAGAAAGGGGGGGAGGGGGAAAAGGTTTTCAGCTATTTTGCAGTTAAAGGCTGGGGAGATGTTTTTGACGTTCGAAAAGGCATTTTTTAATATAAATCGCTGAAACGTCTCCAGTGGCTAGTCACTTGTGGAACTTGGCTGCTTTTTAAGTGAGAAACGTTATAGCGAAAGCAATGACTGCAGTAGTTGAGTGGATAATGATTTCCATTCTAGCCCCTCTTTGGAGCCGCTCATTACTTTCTAAAATGTGTGTTTTTCCAGTGCTAGGCCCTGCCTCCCTAGTCACTCCCTCTACATGGATCCGTGCAAAAATCCTGCTGGCACCAAGTGGACTCTGCCCAAACGCTGCTGTCTGTGTGGATAGGACCTGACTGTTGTCCAGGGGCTCCGATCTCTGTGATGGTGTTTTTCTTTTGAGAGATTGGTCCAGGCTCTTTCTGATTAACTTACCTGCGAGGAAGAGGAACAGTTTCCGTCAGGAGAGCGTTTTCTTTCAGTTTTCACTTAAAAATCTCAACTGTAGAAAGGGTTGGAAAAATTTAGGTGGAAAACGGCTTTGTGCATTGAATGATGCTAAGTAGGTTAATACCGTTTAGATGATATTTAAGATAAAGAACTAGTCTGGGAAATGCATACACGTGAGGAGACAGGGTTACAAAAATGCGGAAGGGCCTTCTCTCCAGCCTTTCCCAATGTTTGGAGTTAGCAGTGACCTGGACGAATAGGCCCTCTCTGTATGAGGCCTACCCTGATAATGTCACGTTATTAGAGTAGCTTTGGCTGACTGTGGCCTTCCATTAACTGTTTTTAAGTACACACAAACTCTGCTCTGTCCACCTGACTTTCCCGAGGTAGACAAGCATGCTATGCATATAGAGTCTTGTGACTTCTGGCATTTTTACCCATGGAGCAGTGCTTTGCGGAAAAACAGTTGGTATGGGTTTAAGACTTAAGCGTGGCTTAAGACTTAAGTGCGTAGAGATCTTATTCGTATAAAAGTATAATTCCTTAACTAACTTAAATGTGCATCCACATAAACGTGCATAAATATAGTCAGCGTATCTTTGACTTTAAAAATAAAGCATTTTGGGTAGGTATTAACTATAAACCTTGCCAGGGTTTTATAAAACTTCTCAGTAACAGTGAGTGGGAGATCTTCCATGATGATGTGGGAGCTAACTCATCATTTCTACAGGAACTGATTTTTTTCCTCCGGTGTTTTAAACAACGCTTCTCATTTTTCATTGTGGTATGAAGGAAAAACTTCCTGATGTAATCAGAAGTATGGCTCTTCCCCCCTCCCCGAGTCTGAAATGACACTAAACTGTGTCTGCAAAGAGCCTGGCCAGCCGGGATGCACGTTGACTTCTGTTGGGGTTCTTCCTGCAGCCTTCCCTCTCCCAGATCCTGCCAGACTCGTTGCTTGATGTCTCCAATCCCACTGCAAGGCCAGAATTTCCTGGGTGTCCAGAGAAGCAGGACCTGATGTTCTGCAGATGTTTCAAGTGCCTCCAGGTTGATGTATATCTGGATCTTCTGGAAGGATTAAGTCATCTCCTTTCTCGTGTTCCCTAAAACTCTCATATGAGCATCGCTTCTGTGCAGGACAGATTCCCTGGCTAGTGGATACTTTGTCGCCTTTCACTAGTCCTGATCACTCAGTTATTGGCTGTTTACATGTGATGTGCGAGTATTAGAAAAAACACATTTGAGCCATAGTGACATTGCAGCAAAGGGGGTTTTGCGTCTACTGCTTGACTTAAAATAAAAGATACGGTGCATAGTCCAGTGCTAATACTTCTGATTTCCCCTGAAGTGAGAAGGAAGATATTTTAATGTATTATTTCTGACATTTTGACTATGCCGCTTGTGTGTTTTGGGTATGGGATGTTTTTGCCTGATTCCTGTTTGGCCTGCTGGCCCATCTGTTTTCCCCTCTTTGCTCTCTGACAGGTGGGAGATATATTTCCTTCCCCTCGTAATACAAACGCGCTTTTTATGAACTTCATCTGAAAGAGTTGGAGCGTAGGGGGATTCTCTGGATCGCGGTCTGTGAGAAAAAAGCAATACAGTTAACCTGACAAAATGGTAACTGCTAATGTACTTGAGCTTTTTCCTTGAATCGAGCAAAATTTTGCCTGTTGGCCACTTAATGAAAGTAAGCGTTTCTTGACGTCTCTGTATCCTACTGTGGGGAAACTTCTGAATTGGGCAGTGCCTCCCAAGGAGGAAACAAGAAATCAGATTTTGGCGTGTAAGCCTGCCTCTAACTGGACTTCCCTTTGTGTCTCGAGGCAAGAGATTTAATCTCAGTTTCCCTGCCTGGGAAAGAGGGATAACCCATGCTGGCTTTCTTCCTGAGGGAGGGAGATGGGTGTTGAAACAGTTTTTACATCTTAACAGATGCAAGTTGTTCTATAAATTCTAGCTCTTGACCTGCTTCCCAGCTTTTTGCAGCCCAAGACAAAGTAGTTACCTTAATTACGTGTTGAAGAATTTTTATTTGAAGTGGATCATCTTATAATGGAATATGCTCAACATCATGGAGAACTGGCTTTCAGAGTACGGTTAAATATTTGCTCTCTGCCTAAGTGCAGTGTATTGAGGGGTTTCTTTCCTTCTTTTACACAGCTTGTTTTGTGCCCTTGTATATTATATTTTTCCAAAGGAGGGTATAATTTCTGTGTACTAAAAACATAATTTATCCTGTTAAACTTTATATCACAAGCAGTCTATTGCTTGTAATCTTATGCAATCAGTAGGGAAACTCCTACCTGCAGCATGTGCTGACATGCAGCTTCCCAGCAGCATGGGGAAACAGAGCAGTCTGGTGACCTTGGTGAGTTGAGCCTGGAAAGAGCAAGCAAACCTGGGCAGTTTATGGGAGGAAGAGAAGATGTCGAATGTGAGTTTACCAGCCTTTTGGAAATGAATGTTAATACCAAGAATAACGTTCCTAAAATTGTCATTTCTTGAGGAAAATTACCTTTTAGAAAGTCTCAGTTGCTTGTAGAACATGATTTCCTGATGTTCCAAATGTGATATCCAAAAGGGCTACAAACAGGTTAAAACACATTCTCATAGATGTACTGCTAATAACAGCGAATGATACTAAATCCAGTATTTCATAGGTGCTGCTAAGATAGGATAAGATACTTCTCTCAAGCTGGGTGGTTCAGGCTGGCTTGTTTGAGTTTCTGATCCTCGTGTCCTAGCACCGTACTGCAAAGTTTGTAAGTAAATTCTGTAGGAGATAGTTGCATTAGGCTACTTGAAAAGATTTTTATTTTTAATTAATACACATCTTACCATTAGAGCTTGGTTTTACTTGCATCCGGAATGTTGGACTTAAATTTCTGGCCGAATCCTGTTAATTAAAATAGAGATTAGTAATGGTTGGGGTTTTTTTTTCTTTCTCATAGTTTTCTGTAAGGTATCAGTTGTAGAAAGCACATAGGTATAACCATGGTGTAGTGGGAGGAAGGTGAAGGAGCGTTGTAAGGATGTCACGAGAGCTGCTTGTGAGCTAAATTTAGAAGTGTTGGCTTGCAAACTTTATACAGCCGGGCTGGCTTGGATCACTTCTTGAGCAAACAGAAACACAGCTCTTAGTTTTATATGCAAAGATTGTCTTAGATGCCAACGTTAGCACTCTTGCTTAAGGTAAACGTAGGATGTCTCCAAAACAGAGGCCATCTTTTCAATTAGAGAGGCTTTTTCCGTAAATATTTTTTTTTCCTCCTTTGTAAAAAAACTGCTGCTCTTCAGGACAGCCTCCCGATTTTCTGTGTGGATTATTATCTGAGGTCATGCTTGTCCCTCCAATTACCTCTCCCATTGATCTGGTTAAAGTTCTTAAGTACTCTTGTATGTTGTTACGTACGTTTTGTGACTTTATATTTGGCAATTTAGTATAATGTTGTAAGTTGGACAAAAAATGAAGATTTCCGTATGGATTTCCTTCATGCAAAAGAGTCTGGTGGTATTTCAGATAATGGAAAAAAATCATCCCTATGATAAAGGTTGATGGGAAATCTTTTTTCGGATGCTTAACAAAGGGCTCTTAAAGTTCAGAAATATTGTTTTACACTCCTGAAACATACAGCAGACTATTTACCATGTCTGAGTCAGTGGTGATATTCTCTATTAGTCAGACAATGTGTTGTAGCTATTGCTTCAGATTATTAGTAGATGAGGAATTTAAAGATATATCTTAAAACATCGCCAAACTAGAAGTAAAATTGGTCTTGAAGACATTTGTTCAATACCCACTATCAGCCTTTCCTGGTTTTATCTTCTCTCTCCCTACTCTTTTTTGTCTCTGTGGGTTTGGATTCAGTTGGATTTGAGCTCCTTCCTAGTCTGAAAATCACGGTGCACTTTTTGTGTAATATCTTATGAACTCTGTTTTCTTTGTCTCTTCAGCTTTTAGGGTAGATGTGTCATACACCCACGCTTTTCTCCCCTTGCAACACTGAAGAAAAATATTAAGGATTTCTGGAAAAAACTGGGAATTGCCACAATGACACCCACTGCCTGTATGTGCTGTATTGCAGGATGAGCACGTGAGCTGCCCGTAAATGCCTTGCAGCTTTATTTTCTTCAGCGCTAGAAGGCCCCGTGGCCTGCAGCGCTGCTGTTCTAGGAGGAAAGTAGGCAATTGCAGTAGCGTAGGAGAAAATACGAGGGAAAATAACAGGGCAGGGTCTGAGATACCTACACTCAAATGGAGCAAGTGTGAGGAATAAGCAGGAAGTATTTGAAGTCTTAGTACTTAGCCATAACTATGATTAATCAGCGTGACAGAGACGTGCAGTTGTCAATCAAGGGTCAGGATTATTGTCATAGAAGATGATAACTTATTCACAAAGGTCGGGTGGAGGAAGGAGGGAGGAGCTGTCATATATACATAGATACATGTATTATTCATGGCATTACGTGTAAGACTGAAGTTCAGGAAGAGGTGAGAGGCAGTCTGGGTGAATGGCTGGCTAATGAGTGAGAAGGGAATTGGATGATGTTATCCCGGGTATGTACAATTGCGTGATGTTATCTGAAGTATGTACTGTAGATCAGGAAAGGGAGGTGGAGAGGAGAGGAAAAGGGGTTTTGTTGTTCTTGAGCAGCCAGTAAGCCTGCAGAGAAAAGGTCTTGGCAGTATTGGGCATTTTGATTCCTTAAGTAACGAGGGGCAAAATAATACAGCGGGACAGGGGGATGTGTTGGGGATAATTCTTTGTTTGGAGAAGAAGAGTGTGCTGCGAAGGGAGAGTTTGGCTGGGAGTTGACATTAGTTGGTTAAAAGTCATCACTAAGCAACAGACTGTGCTTTTTTGAGGAGAGGAAGGAATTTATACATCTCTGAAATATTTACATATCTCTGAAACCCACTTTCCTTACTACCAGACTCCTACATCTCAAGAATTGGTAAGGGATCTCTTGGGAAGATAAAGGATAAAGGAGTATATGAGGACTGGCAGTGAATGAAGTTTAAAAGGCAAAGCGGCAAAGCGTTCAGTACAGAGGGAAGATGGGAAGTGCAGTTGGATCCTGCTAGGGCTGCACTGGGAGTTCTGTGGGATTTCTTCTTCAGCCTTCAGATTTGTAAAATGCGGCATACGCAGATAAAATAATGTTGCATCGCAGCCTTTCTGAATTGCCACTAGCCAGGGTCATAAAAAGCAACGTGGAAAAGTCTAAGGTTGCATTAAAATTAGAGAAAACAAAGGAAGATATAGGGGAAGTAACACTACTGAGAGTGATAGGCTTTTGTATAGCTTGCAGGTTTTAATATGGGCTTTGCTTTAACTCTTACAAATTTTCATTTAGATGATACTGTCTACATGTCTGACAAGTTCTGTGTACTGTGTTACAGTCCATTTGAAGACTAAAATTGAAATGAATTGCATGAAACTTATGTATGCGCATTCTATTTTTGCACATTTTTATTTGCAGTATAAATATCTACCTATAAGTAGATGAAAGCTTTTCTCTCTGCATTTTAGAAAATAGCGTGGCAGAAAAGTCTTTGTCAAACATGGGACCTAAAGGTGTCTTTGCTATTTTGTAAAGAAGATAATATCCATGGCATTTGTATAGAGTTTGCAAACATGAAAGCATGGTGAAAACAAACCAACCTTCACATTGTTGCTGCTGAGACTAGCAATGACTCTACTCTAGAGTAGAGAAACGGAGACACAAAATTAAATGATGTGTCCAGAATTCCAGAATCTTTTGGAAAATACTTGTTGGCAACCAGATGTAGAACATAACACGTTTCAAGTATGCCATCTCTTTTGTCATTATTTCCAGCTGAGAGAAGAAAAACTACAAGAAGAAAAAACTTCCGAGGATCTGATTCACAAGCTAATTCTAGATGACATGGAAGGAGGAAAAAGAAAAATGGAAGAACAGCAGAAAAAAGATGACTCTCTAGTGCTGAAAGTGAACCAAGAGTGTGTAAGTAAGCTTGTATTTCTCTTTCGTGTCTACATCACAGACACAGACTGGTAGGTGAAATACTGCTAAGGTTCAGTCATGGAACAAGAACTACCTTTTCTGAGACCTTTACTACCTGAGGATCTCCTGTTCCTGCCTGTTTGAAACTGGGAGCTTTCCTCCATTGACAAAGGGAGCTTTCCAGGATTATTTGATTGACTTCCTAGTAGCCCTTGGAGGATATGAGCTAATAGGTTATAAAGATCCGTGCTAATGAGTACTATCTTCTAAGAAGGTTTATGACTACAAATGTTCTTCTAGAGGTTTGTCTCCCCTCTGAGCCCTATGCAGCTGGACTCCTTAGGAACTAGAGAGTGTTGCACAGACGTCTAAAGGATATAAGCAAACAACCAGGGGCAGCAGCTTCGCCAGCCGTCTTGTGCTGACTGTCCCCGCTTGTCATTCCGCTCCTGAACAGCTGCAGTGCACAGAGCAGCCCTGTTCCATTTGAATGGAAATGACAAGACAAGCACCATGAACGTCTGTCTGGGTGGATAGCTCAGATCATTGCTGTCCCACACAACTAGGTCCTGAGAGACCGCAGAGGGGAAATACAGGAGAGTGAGGAGTGTGGGCTTTATCACCCATGTTCTGGGGTGACCGAAACCCACTTTACTCGTTACCAAAGAAGCTGCAGCCCTTCCAAACATATTGGTAACATCTGTAGAAGTAACTGCTCTGCCGTGGGTATTCTTGTTCTTCAGGCACACATGCATTTCTGTGAACATATCTCCATGAATCTTCTACAGTGCAGTTATAGTCAAACAGATTCTTCATGCTGAGTTTCGCCTCTCTCCTTCCAGTTGTGAGACTTCACAGGAAATGCTCTTAAAAATTAATGGCTGATGGAGGATTATGTGGGCACTGAACTATGTCCTGTAGTACTTCTGTTGTAGGATTTTCTCTAGTTTCCTGCCCATCCAGTATTTGCTCGTTAAATTCTCTTTCTTCATTGAGCTACACATATGAGCTGTGTGTTTATTTTTGCATTATTTAGGAATTTGGGGCCAGCTTCTGAGTTCTTACAGCTTCAGTGAAGGGAACTGCATGACCGTTTCACCTGCTGGCAGATCTCGTTCTCATTTTATGTCCTCTAGATGTAATTACTACAGGGGCTTTTGGAAAATTGCCTATTTTTGCAAGAAAGAGCTTTATTTTCCAAGTGATTCTTTTTGTTGTACGTGTCAGCTAACTCTTCCTTGATTGACTTCAGTTTCCTGAACGTCTCTCGGATTCAGAGAACGAAGAACCATTCCAGGGCAAACAAACGCATCGGTCAGCTTTTGTTTCCAAGACCAGTGCCTACTCCTTTGCTTTCCTTTCAGGGTAAGAAGCTGATCCTTAATTGAAGCTGATTAGTGTCCATTCCAGATGTAAATATGATGTTCTTTTTACTGTTCTAAACATTTCTGAGGTGTTTTAAATTTAATTCAAATGGTTGTTCCAGTCCAAAAAAAGTAATAACTTTTATGGACTTTCAGAGTAGACAAATTTGTAGAATATAGCGTCTGGCTGATTGCCTCCTACCTGTTACGAAATCCTGGACGTTAATGCATTTAGTGTTGATCCCATGAAGCAGAAAAATCATTGATTGTCTATTTAAATTACAAAATCATTCTCTATGATGAACTCAAGAGTGCTGGATTCTTTTCCAGCACAGATGCTAAGAGGTAGCATCCGCCCCAAACAGTTTATCAGTTAAAGCTGTTGCATGATGCAGTGTAAGTGGTTGAGTAACTGAGCATGATTGCACGTGGGAAGCACAGGGATTTCCATAGTGTTGTCGTTTGCGCTGACCTAAATTAGTTATAAGCCACAGGTTGGTGCTGGTGTGTTTAGAGCGGAGCCCTTGATTGTAGACCTGGGCTCTGGAGCAGACCCAAAGAAGACTCTTGGGCGCCTGTGTCCAATTCTGTGGTCCAGAATATACACCTCAGCTGCTGCTTAAACTTCCTTGACTTGAAGGCCTCCCTGGCTAAAAGCCTGGGCAGAGAGGTACCTCACTTCGCCTTCGCCCTCAGCGCTGCAAGTGTGACCCAGAAACTAAGCAGAGCAGCAGGCACGTCCCTGCTGGGCTCATGCTTTGAGTCTGCCTCACACGGAGAACATTTTAGGTTGTTGGCTTCGCTTTCAGTAGTCAGCCTGGTCTGACTCACAGCATAGCCATATGAGCCACACTAGAGCTACAAGGAAGGTGGTGGGAATGTGGGCGAAGAGAGGGCTTCTCTTGGCAACACCCCGTACTCAACCGATCGTGAAATTGATAGCTGGAGAGAGGGCTTGAGGCCCTGGCACACAGATGGGCAGCAGCTGACTTATTCCCATCAGATAGCTCAGGGAGATCAGGCGTGCCCCGCTGGATTTGGGGCTCCACTCAAAGAACAGGACACCTTAGAGTTAGTCCCTGCAGCTCCAGACTTTTAGGGCTCTAAGTCTTACTGTGTCTGGTCCTCAGACACAGTCTGTTTCCCAAATCCCTTTACCTCGAGCATGTAGGAGGAATCTCTTACAGCTGGGCCCTGCCAAGGCAGATGCCTCCCCCACAGACAGCGCAGGTAGCTCGTGCATGTTGCCAGAGGTGTTGAGCTTGTTGTTCCTAAGATAACGTGCAATCTCATGTTTTCACACAACGGCTTTTCAGGAACCTAACCTCCAAGGTGGAAAGGAGTCGGAGTTGCAATGACACCATTCAGGAGAGATCAAAGAGCAGGCAGCGGTCAGCCCCAGCCAGCAAAACAAAGGTACTGTCTGTTTCTGAAAACGTATAGCATGGTGGGGAAGGGGTTTTATGTATAATAGATATCTGAGGTCACACAGTGCCAGTAATCTGGAAATACAAAATACTGGTTTTGTGCGGTTACTAGTGCTGTGTTAAGGCCGTGGGGGCCAATCACGTCCTCGCAACTCACATTCGAAACCTGCTAGGTTAGAAATTACTGAGCAGAAAAGTAGGCAACTTACAGAGTTGTTTGTTAGCACTGTAGGATAATTGGAAATTGGAAGGGAACTCTTCATTCCTTTATTTCGTAATTCATTTTCTTTTCAAGGCTGAGTCCTCAGTAGATTAGAGAAAAATCTTTCGGAAGTTCAAAAAAAATACTGTCCCTCATCCCTTTCTCCCCTGTTCTTTTCAAAACTGTTTAAACAGAGCAAAACTCATTCTTCTCCTGGTCTTAGTAAACTTTCTTTTGCTCTTTCACTGCGCTCTCCAACAGGAAGAGTTGGCCTGGTCTTGCTTCCCCTCAGATCCAGTAGGCCAAATGAATTAACAGTATTCATTACATGGAGCAAGAGGCCTGACTTTTCCGCTTACCACTGGCTTCAAAATGAGTTGTGATTATGAAGCACCACTGAAAATCTGACCCAGAATATTTTTGGGCAGTAATTGCTGGCTACGTTCCACTCATTTGGAGGTGACCTTTGCAGACGTCTTTGCACTGTATCTGGCAGCACCATTGGGACGCTTGCCAGCAGAAGCAAATTTTATGCACTCGCTCTCTCTCTGCCTCTAGTTCTTTCACTAACCTCTGTCTCCTGGGCCATTTTCTGCCTCCTTTCTAACGTGCCGCTCTGGCCTGTGGGATCCTGGTGGCTGGCAGCAGCAGCTTTCCCAAGGGTGTTGAGTGCAGCCTGGCGTGGGCAGCCCAGCGTGGGTCCTCGCTCAGCAAGCGGTCCCAGCGGATTCAGGCAGTGAAGCTTAGCCAGGGCCACCAGGTCCTGGGTGTCACCTGCAGGTGCCACATCAAAAGACCCAGCCCGCTCAAGGTAGGAGATGTGGGGATACGGCATGCTTCAAATGCAGGGCCTGCCCGTGAGACCTATGGACCCATTAGTTCTTCTCCTCTCCTCCTTCTGCCCTCTGTGGAGCCTTCCTGCATGCAGCGGGGCCCCCCGCAGTCGCTCTCTAGGCCCCTGTACCAGACCCTGCTCCCTCCAGCTGTCTTACCCCACCTGGGAGACCTCACCTGTACCTCAAGGGCTGAAAGGGGTGTTTCCATTTTCCTTTACGTTTTCCTGTCCAACCTGCAATCCTCAATAAATCATGAAGGCTTTCACTTCTCTCAGACTGGACAGCTCTGCGGCTTGCTAGGACATTCCACCTCCTAGTGCTGACATCCCTCCTTTTTTATTTCAGTTTCATCACAGATTGAGGAGAGGAGGGTTCAGTTCTAGAGACCCCATAAGTAACGAAAGCTTCTTGAATCCTTTGAAAGGCAGTTTTGTTTGGAGATTTTGCTTGGAAAATGGTAAAATCCCTGTTGGGCATACTAAGTGGACCCCAGTGATCACCAAGCTAGATATCTGAGAGGTCACGGGCGTGGTTCATCATTAAAGAGTGTGTTTTTAACAGCTTAGCCCACTCCCTATCTCAGCTGATAGGAACGGGATTGAGTTCAAAGCAAGGGAGCTATGACTAACCTGCCCTCCTCAGGAGGTTTTTGGTTTTGTTTTTTAAATGCAGATGGTTTAGGGACTTGGCCAATTAAGAGCTGCACTAAGAGGGTGTTCCACAAACTTGATTTGACCCCAAAAAATAAGCTTGTGGAAACAACTGTGCTTTGGGGTGAGAAGAGAAAGGCTGCCATTGTCTCAGACTAGCTGCCGGATAAAATTGCTTTATCTTAGAGACAAATAATGTCACTTGCATTTGTGCGTGTGCAGCTTTTACTTCTGCCTTATTTGTGGTTGCATTCCTCCACGCTCCAAAATGTAACAGTGTTAGGGGATGGTTTTGAAGATGACAAGAAAGGCTACTCTTAAGGACTGCTAAAGGCTATCTCAGACAGTTTCCAGGGTGGTGGCTGTGGGGTGTTCTGGGAATGCGTGCAGAAGTCGTTCCACTGATCTGCCTCTGTCGCATAAACATCTTTTCTCATCACGTTTTGCACTGAGCGTCCACTGAGTATGTTAAACCTGGGCCAAGTCTTTATTCTTTCTCTCCTATGGCTTGGTAGGAAGCAGAAAATCCTTTGGAAATAATATCCCTCGAAGAGCATGCCTTGGTATTACGTGTCTTCCTTCAGCCTGGCTACTGCAGTGGTTGCCAGCCCCTCATTTTCTTGCGTCACTTCAAGCTTTTTGCCGCTTGCCCTACCCAAAGAACAACTATTACGCTAAAATACACTTGAGACTCAGACTTTGCTAGACTCTAGGGTACCCTGGTTAGCTTAGGCATCAGCCATGAAATGTGCTGTAACCAGCAGAGGCTGCTACGGCTGTTCCAAAGAGCTTTCTCACCCCTTTGATTTGCTGCAGGAGCTGGGCGCGCTAGCCGTATGCCACAGTTGAGCGGATGGCAGACATGACCACAGGGCCTAAGGCAGAGACTGGACTTTGTGCTCATTATTAAAGTGGTGGGATGAGAACGTTGCTTGCTTAAGAGGAAGAAGGTGGCTGGGGCTGCTGGCTGGTATGGCAGACATTATGATCTGAGAAACAGGTACAATTGCCCAGAAAGCTAAAAGCCATTGATACCTATAATTGTTTGAGAGCTATCGAATTTCCCGTTCTCTTGCATAACTTGTCTATATTCTTGTGGTCCATCTTTCCGCAATGACAACCATTCTGAGCCGTGATGCCTTGTCTTTCAGGTTCCACCTTTGACCAGCGCGTCGACACCTTTGGTTGGAGTTTTGTCATCTACCCAAAACAATCGCTGCCTCTCCGCCCCAGATCTGACAGCAGAGAAGCGCCTCGTTCTCAACCCCGTTTCATCCTTCTCCACCCTGCACAAGCCAGAGCGATCCATCAGCCCCGAGAGCAATGACAGCATCTCAGAAGAGCTCAATCACTTTAAGCCAATTGTCTGCTCCCCGTGTACTCCTCCAAAGAGGCTTCCTGATGGCAGAGTCCTGAGTCCTCTCATTATAAAGTCCACTCCGAGAAACCTCAACCGAAGCCTGCAGAAGCCAACCACCTATGAAGCCAGTCCTAGAATACTGAAAAAATGGGAGCAAATATTTCAGGAGCGCCAGATCAAAAAGACCCTCTCTAAAGCAACTCTTACATCCTTGGCTTCAGAGCCTGGGGAAGATGTTATAGTTCCTGACATCACCAACTCCAGTAGTTGCAATAAAGAGCAACTACAAATACAGGATGATCACATTCCACCTGACACAACAGGAGACCCTCGCCCAGAGCTAGATTTCTTTCCTTCTATCAGTGAAATGAAGTCAGGAAGAGGGAGTGACAGAGTATAAAAAGCCGTAACCACAGACTATAGCTCTGCTTAACCAGATGCAAGATCAAATGGAACCTCCCTAAACACACGAGTGTCAGAAGTTCCTGACATAAAAGTGAATGCGTACATGGACAAATCCTGTCTTAGCATTGGCCCAAAAATGCTGAGCAGAAGAATAATTGGAGTCAATGCGTCACTGCCTGACAACAGCACGCTAGGAGTTCCGGTCAAGACATCGGGAAAAAAGCAGCTGAAATACCTGAACAACAGCGAATTGATCAACGTACAGAACAGTACCTGCAATTCTGTTGAAAACATCATTGGCGAACAGCCCCCTTCGCTGAGACGGGGACGAAAGAGACGCTGCAAAACAAAGCACTTGGAACACAATGGTTCTGTCAAAAGACTGAGGCACGCGGATTTTTTTAAATTCCAATAGACAAATATGTACTTTCCTAGGTGCATAAAATACATTCTCATTCTATGGAGGCTGGCCTTACATCTGCAGCGAATTTTTGACAGTGAGAATAGGACAGTGGATAGGCGGAAAGTTAGAGTAGATCGGTATCTCCTGCGCTCAAAGAGCACTCTGGGTGCTAAGTAGCACTGATGGACAATGTTGCCTTTCTAGAGGACAATGAGGTTTATCAGATTATCTTATAGGAAAACTATTTTTTGTCATACTTCCACCCACACAATTGTTTTTCTTTTTGGTGGTAAGACATTTGTAGGTCCAGTTCAGAGAGAAGCCAGAGTCCTTTCAGAGTTCAAAAAAAAGAAAAAGAGAAAAAAAATCCCCCAACCTCTCTGGTCCATCGGTCCGAAAGAAGTGTCAGTCCTCACCGTGAATACACTGCAATGCATGTAAACGCAGTTGATGACATTTGGGTTCCCCTAGCTAAGGGTGTGGTATTAGCAGTATATGAAGTACTGGGTAGGGACCTCATCTGTTCGTTGTTTTGCCATTTGCGATATGCCAAGAGAAATCAGAGCTCTACTGATGGAGAGCAAGCTAGGCTGTTTCTATTCGAGAAACTGTTCTCCCCTCTGTCTGTCTCATTATCTCCCTTATGCTGCAGCTAGCTGTGGTGGTTGGCCTGTTACTTATGTCAGAGAGAATGAGCTGACTTGGCCTAAACTTATAACAACGGGACTGTTTGGGAAGGAGGCTATGATTCGTATTTCTGCTAGGAAGTACCACATATATCCTCCAGGTACCTGTACCTGAATGTATCTCACTGTCTGTACCAGCGGTACAGATCGAAGGTTGCTTTATGTAGATGGCCAAATGCAGTGAGGGAAGCTGTAAAATCAGGATTTTACTGAAAAGCCTTATGACAACTTGTACATTTACGTTAATAATAGAGTGGAAAGCTTGGGCTGAACAGCTGGAAGCCATTCTCTCGGGCTCTGAGACACGTGGAACAAATGCAGCTTTCTCTATAACTTCTCCTAGATATAGAGGAAGTTGTCCGTACTGACACGTATCCTGCAGGCTCCCACTAGTTGAGATAGCTGAGAGCTCTCGACACAGGTAAAGCTTGTCCTTACGTGTTCGACGGTGGCACTAACAGGCATCCTGAGTTATTTGACGCATCATCGTCCTTTCCCAGGCACTTTGTGAGTTTGCGGTAGAGTTGGGATGAGAGCCCAGCCCTCCCGGCCTGTGGGTACACGTACACAAGATGCAAGCCTGCCCGGTCCGTGCTCCGAGTTAGCCATCTGCAGGCAGGAATTCATACTGCTAAGAAAGCTCAGGTGAGCACTGCGCTAAGAATTTCCACTTAAGGGCAGAACGTGTTAGGTCAGGCACAGCGTTTGCCAGCCACCCGGCGTCCGGGTTGGTGTCCAGCCAGCTCGGAGCCTGGGCAGGGAGAGCCGGATCTGCCGGAGTTGAGGTTCCTGACTTGGTGGAGCGCGCGTTGTCTCCCAGACGTGGCCGGCAGCGCGGGCTGTGCCACCACGTGTCAGAATCCCTCGGGCCTCTTCGTGTCTCGACCGTGACACGGCTCTTACCTAAATAACGCTAATGTTCCAGCTAGCCTGACGGTTTGAGCTGAGTAATTGTCCGCTTACATCACGACAGAGTATGGTGATTGTTCTTCCTCGGACCAATTTCAGGGAATAAGGGAACAGGAGAATTAAATGCCCAATCCCATAACCAGTATTCCTTCAGAGAGGACGTTTATTCTTTTCTCTTTCTACCTGATACCTCTCTCCACCATCCATTAGCAGTGAAAGAATTTCCTTGATTATTATCAGTCATTAAGCTCAAAAAAACACAGCTCAGCTTCATACTCGACTGCTGCCTTGCGGTGTATTCACTGGGGATCCTCGGCGTCCGCGGGGACCTTCTTCCGGGGCTCTCTGCGCTGTTGCTGTCGTGCTGACCCATGCACCAGAGGACAAGTGGTATTTTCAAGACCTACCCGAAGCACGCTGCTGTGCAGCCGGTTAAACTTGCCGCTGGCCCATGGCACGAAGGGAAAGTCGGCTATCACGTTACACACATGGGACGGATCCAAGAGAATTGTCAGTGCCCCCATTTCCTCCTGGATGCTTCTGTTGGGGAAAAAACTTGGAAAAGGGCAGAATTTCTCCCTCCATCTTAAATGGTAAAAAAAATGGGAACCGGTTTTATTTTTTCTCTTTTGGCATACTTGTGTAACTGCAAGGACCCTGGAGCTTTTTACCGATTGAACTGGATTGTTTTTTTAAAAGAAATCTTATATTTTAATGGATAAAATTTATATATTTTAAATACTATATTTCAACAGATTGACACTTTCGTTGTGAGAAATCTTATAGCAATGATTCCGTAATATATATATATCTCCTTAACACATCAACTACTGGATGTTTAAAATCGTACCCCATGCCAGGTTTCCACCCTCGGCTAGACCTGGCCTGCTCGGCCTACCTGTTGGGGCTCGTGGGTGATGTCTTGCTGTACCCTCCTCGGAGGTGGAGCTCTGCCCTCTTACGCACTGCAGCCTCGTTAGGTGCAGCCTCGTTAATTGCTGATTGAAGCCGGCGCAATTCTTTTGCCTCAAACCGAATTGTGCTCACGTACACCAGCGCCGAATTGGAAGGAAACTGAGTGATTGTAGCCTTGATCGCACCCCAGAAGGGTGGCGCAGAGATAAATAGCATCGGTTTGAATTTGCCCTCTGCCACGGCTCTAAAGAATAAGCTAAGGATGGAAACGCACAGCTTTTACCCTGAGCTGCTGTGATTTTTTTTTCCCCCCCTAAGTTTTGAACTAAAGCTTGCACTTTCCAAGTGCATCTAGATTTACTATGATTTTTACAGATCCCCTTCTCCCTTGCCCTTGCCCAGGGTTAATCCCTCGAGCCTGAATGAGACTTCCCGAAACAGTTTCCTTCTTTCTCGCTGCGCTCGTGCTGGTTTCCTCCAGGCTTGGGCTGCCGGACGTTCTCTAAGCAAGTGTATAAAACAAAAACTAGATTTACGTGGGTTTTACATGCTGAATGTATCCTTTTTCTCTCTCGTAGAATAGATTTTGGAGTCCAGCACGGCAGGCCAGTGTCGTCTTAAAGATCTTTTCTTTGTTTTAAGATTGCCTAAATATTTTAGTTTTGTGTGTGTTAATTTCCTCTTTTTTAAATCTGAGTCTCAGCGGAAGTGCAGGAGGCACTGCCTAAGCTGGAACTTGTCTCAAGCCAAAAAAGCCTAACAGAAAAGAGCCGCGCTGGCACGTCCGTTCCCCGCAGCAGCGCGTCCGTGCTGCTCGCGCTCCCCAGCTTTACGAACCTCGGCTTTGCTCAGCGGCCTGCTCCCGGCGAAGCAGAGCGCAAGCTTCCCATCGGCTCCGCGGGCGCCGCTCAGGTCCCAGCAAAAGAGGGTGCGTGTCGTGTACAGTCTTGTTGCATCAGTATTTAAGGAGGCCTTTGGTTTTTGGGGAGGGTTGGGGGGTTTTTTTTGTTGTTTTGGGGTTTTTTAATCATAACGTGGAATAGTTATGGTGCTCTGAAGTCTGTCCCTTTTCGGTAAGACGTTACCGCTGACATGCAGTAGCAGCTTTCAGTAATGTATCAGGGTTGGATTGATCTTTTCTCAAGAGGTTTGGATGTCCACAGATTACCGCGCGGGTTTTTAGCCCACTGCTTTTAGCCTTTGAAGAAAACTGCTGGCTGTATTTCTGCGTTACCCGCCCCATCTGGTCGCTTCTTCCAGACGGAGGAAAAACACAGGCAGCTGCCGTTTTCCTGCCGGCTAGCGTAGGCCATCTCACCTTCTTCCCGAGCTAGCGAGAGTGGGACTGGGGCTAGGCTGAAATCTGCTCAAGTCAGTATGAGGCCAGGGGCTTGAGGTGATTTTTAAGCTATGATGAATAATTTTATTAATTTTGTGTAAACTTACACAAAAAATAATTGTATATAATTTCACGTAAAAGAGCAGAAGTTCCCAGCCTCTCGCATTTAAAGGTCAGGTGTTACGCTTCCTTTGTCACAAATAATGTCATCCGAGAAGTAAAATACCTCTTGCTGAACAGTGGATGCAGCACAGGATCTGCAGAGGCCCTAAACCGAAATCAAGTATTTATTTACGTATATTCGAAAATAGTTCCTAATCCTCCTCCTTTCTGCAGCCGTGTTGTCTCTGGGATTAAAGCCGTCCCCGCAGATTGTGGACAGTGCAGGCATGTACACATCCTTCCAAAATGTGAAGCTGCCTCTCACCTTCATGCCCTCTCGGGAGAAAAAAACAGGTCAAGAGATTGCACTGCTTGTAGCACTTCCTGGTGACCAGAAGGGGTTGGGGGGGGGGAGGGGTTGTTTAATAACAGAATGACTGTATCTGCCAAAGATGCCATCTGACTCCGAAAAGCAACTTTGACTCTCTGGAGCTTCCTACATGGGAAAAGATGTATTAAGATTCATTTTTGGAGTCAGAACAGACAACAGTAAACAAATGAAGGAAAAGTGCCAAAAGAATGGATCATGCAAGATGATTGTATCGTGGTGTTCTACATTGTCAGTATTTTTCTTCAAATGATATTGTACATGCAGTACACAGTAGTCATGAAGTATAGCTTGAACAAGCGCTTCTTTGTATTTTATCAATGAAAGCAAGGGGGAGGTGAAGCCTTAAAGACTATAACTGATTTTACAAGCAGGCCTTTAGCAATGCTTCGAGGATAGCCCTGCAGGGCTTTCGGCTGGACGCTTCAAGATCTCTTTGCCATCTTGTAGTTATTCCATGAAAGGCTGACAAGGAGCTTGTCCTGGGTGCGGGGGAAGTGTTTCATGCGACCCCGTCCCCTCTGATCTGTAAGGGGGACGGGGAGCGACCGTTTCTTGTTCACCTTTTGGACGTGGACATGAAGGTCTAGCATGTCACTGTGATAGAGCGCTGTGGGATATTTTGTAGATCGCAGCTAGGTGCAAACTGTGATGTGATGCTGATTTGAACTCTAGGTCAGAAGCTGGAATGATCTCTGTGTTGTATGAATTCGATACAAACCTTTTTTCTCCCCCCTATCTTTAAAACTCTGCAAAGCATCAAACAGATCTAGAATTAGCTATTCACTATGCAAACAGAAAAATCTTCAGCTGATTACAAGGGGTTTTGTGTATGCCTGGTTTTCTTGGTGTTTACTGTCGAACTGTTTAAAGCAAATATAGATGTTGCTACACTTTTTCCAATATGCTTTAAATCGTTGTGCTTTAGTGTGATCCTCAACTTGCAAACACCAGTGTGGAAAAAGACTACGGTCATTTTGGGTCTCAACTGAACCACTGTGGCTTCATCCGAATGTTTTAAAAGCGATGGAAGTTACTGAAAGACTGTTTACTTGCATGTGTAAAATGTGTGGGTAAAATGAAATGCAGGCGTCTCTCATATTGTGGCTTCTGTTATTTGGAACAGAGTAAATTCTGCTTGTGCAAAATTGTCACAAAACGGAAATATGCCAACTGTGTACAAATATCGTGTACATGTTAACAGCAATGACGACTTTAACCGCAGGACAAAGGCCGAGGTTAAAATGGAATAAAACCAGGTTCTTACAGTCGACTACCTGTTTTTGCTGCACTTGCTGCATTTGGAAACGAGCATAATCATGCCGCTGTCTATTCTGAATGCGTTCCACTTGCCACTGGCTACCTGAGGTTGTTCACCCCCCTCCTCGGCCCCCCCCCCACCCCCCCCCGCCTCTCCCCTCGTGCCCTACAGCTAGTCCCTATCCCCTCGGTTGTGCTGGCGCGGCTGTTTGCAGGGCAGTCAGACCAGGGAACGGACTTGGGTTTTTAGTAACTGTGTTTTGTGCTCAGCGTAGCTCCCTGGCCCCATTCGGGGTCCAGCTGGTCGGTCACTTGTACCTGCAGCGGGATGGGGGCTCCTTGCAGCTAGAAGCATTTCCGTGGCATGGAGGGGATTTCCCCCAGCACCTGACGGTGGCCATGGGACAGCCCGATGCTGAGATGAGCGGGTAAGAACAAGCAGCTGAGAACGGAGCAGCACGGGGCAGCTCAAGAGGATTTTTGGTAGCAGTATTTCTGCCCATCTAATGGCACTCCGTGTACACTCTCTTCTTTCCCGAGGCCTCACACTAAATACCAGCTTTTCACGGTCACCTATCTGCTTTTTTAAGGAGAAGGAGGCACTGCTTGGAAGTTCTTAGCTCTTTATTTAAACAGCTGTAGCTATTCTCACTTCTTCTCCTTGCCTTCTCATTTGTAGGGCGAGCACACCGTTTCCTCCTAGAGGTTCTTCAGGCAACTGTCAGACTGGCCCCGCTGATAAAATTGCAGGTACCTGGGATAAGGTCTAGGCAGAGTCACATCGCTGCCACGTAGCTCTGCCGCTTGGCAGCCGTGTGCTGCAGCGGGTGGCAGGTCTCTTACAAATTAGTTTTCTACAAGGATAGCTGGTGCACACCATATTTCACAGTAACTACGGGCAGGACAGTGAGCAAGCATGGTTTTCAGGCACTGTCATTGAGGGAATCGAGCTGTAGTGGTGCTTTAAGTTGGAAGTCGCTGGCTGAAAGCCGCAGATGAATCCTTTCACTCACTGCACTGCATTTTCAAACCTCCGGAGGAAAAAAACTAGCTCCAAACAAGTTACAAAGTAACATAAAATCTCACCTAGGAGGACAACGGGGTGGGATGCTTTATTCAACCATGGCTATACTGCAGACTTCACTTTGAGCATCTTCTTGGCCACTCTCTTCCTTGGCAGCTCTAACTGTTTGGAGCTCCACTGCTTGGAAGCCACCTCCATGAGGAGGGCTTTTATTGCTGGCATCTCATCCAAAGGGCTGTCCTCCTCTCGAGCCTGCTCCTCGTCAGGGGCCACTGGAGGAGTCCTGTACACCTCCTGGAAGTCCTTCATTAGCCTCAGTGCTTCCCGATATGTTTTGGGGCTGGATTTCTTCTCTTGCAAAACAGACACTGGAAAAGGTCAGAGGTGTGAGCAGAGCTATGGAACTGCTCCTTTCAACAGCTCGTTTTCCCCCCTGCCTCTCCACCAGCAGCCCCACCACCCCAATCCTGGTAGCGTGGCGGTGGTGCTACCGTGGCAGCCGGAGGCCCGGATTGTGAATCCTGGGCCCAGGACACAGAAATGGCTTTACTCAGTTGGGGCCCTGCTGTAGCTGCCCACTCCCGTGCACACGAAGCCTTCTGCTGGGATTCAGTTCTGTTCTGGTGCCCACACAAAACACAGGAGCCCCAAAATCAAAGGCAGTGGCAGTCTTGAGCAATTCCACAGTGGAGACGGAGATGTCTGTGTGGCCGCAGGACTGGATTTAAGCCTGGACAGTGGCTTTTACTGTAGCCTGCAGAAAGTGGCTTAAC